ATACAAGTGTTACGAGTTCATTGCGTGCCGATCATCTCGCATAGGCATATCCTCGACTATGGTAGTTCTGCAACACAACCAGTCGTGACTAACTATCACAACCGAAATGCAAGAAGATCGGCATGCAGTGATATTGTTACAGTTGACTTGTCGCAATCAATCGCGAAGGTGAAATCGCGTTAACTCTGCCCGAAGCCCCAGGTTGCAAATGATAAAACTAACCCCTTGAAAGAGCCTACTGAGATCATTGCCGTGAGAAGTATTGAGAACTCCACTACAATTTTCCATCGGTTTTAGAGGTGAACTGAATAAAAGCTGAAAACATATAGCTTTGCAAGATATGTGCAGAATAGGTGACTCACACTAAGAATCGCTGAAAGCATCATTTTTCTTTCACATACTGCAAGATAAGCGAGGTTATATAGAGAAGCTCGAAGCCTGTGATATTGTGATTGCACTCCAAGCGTGCTATTTTTGCAATAAATTCATCGCAGCTGTTCGATTAAGTTGCACTTTTCAGAAATCTGACACACAAAAAAGAGCATGAATGATTTTAAGCTTATTGACGCTTGTGTATTTATAGATCCTTCGTCAGCTTACTACGGACGCACATGAATAGATCAACGACATTACTACTGTCGTAATTACTATTTAGCGTAACTACACAAGTAAAATAGCTGAGAAAGAGGAGTTGTTGCTCAAATTGACTTTAGGTTGTCGTTGTAAAGAGTTCATAGAGGTGTAGCAGATGGGATACTTTGGTCTCCAATAAAAATACCACCACTTATGCCAAATCTTCCTTGTTCGTTGAAAGAGGATAAACCTTGGCTCTTTAATCTTCAAGTTAAACAAACCGTGTGGCATTGCGATGACTATTATATAGGGCTTATCAAATTGAGTGTCGCTTGCACCAGCATCTCCATCTTCGCACTGGGCTCTGCGTCTCTTCTGCGGTACATGCTCCTTAATCACTTCCAATCGATTGGTGCTCCGCCTTTCCCACGCTCGCCCTGGGAAAGTGCTCAGAGAGCAGCCCTGTGGAAGAGACGCAGAGTCCAGCGTGAAGACGGAGATGTCGGTGCAAACGACACTCAATTTGATAAGCCCTATAGGTATTGTCTGCAGTAAACAAAGCAGACTTTCAGTCATTTGTCATGGACTTGACCAATCTATCAATGGTTCGCAGTTAATATCTAGAAAATTGTAATCAAAAGTCTGAGTCGGATCCAATCAGTTAATCCATAATAATGTCTCCCGACTTAGGGAAGAACTTTTTATCGAGTAACGCGAGTACGGATAATTCCTGTTGGTTGCTAGATCCAGATCACTCTGGTTCAATGCCAGGGCGCTAAATCACAGTCTACGATATATGTATCAGTCAAGGTGTTGTATCAAGGTTATAGGATAGTTCCAACAGATCGCTGTATACAGGGCTCCTAAATTGCAGAGTCGTTTGCACCAGCGGTCGCGCGACCCCGTCGCGCCCGGGCATTTTGCCGGCGCCGGCGCCATCGATCGAAGCGGCGCCATCTTATATATAAAGCTGAATGTCTGTTTGTATGTCTGTATGTATGTCTGTATGTATGTCTGTCTGTCTGTCTGTCTGTCTGTCTGTACGTATGTTCCGAATAGAAATTTCCATTTCTTGACCGATCCGGACCAAACTTGGCACACATACACTTCGGGCCCCGGCGGGTGTCATAGGCTACTTTTCGTATCGATCGATATCGATTTTATCGATTTTTTGCAAAATTTGAGCTACGGGGCGGGGAGTTGGCACAGGGGGGTAAGTGAGCATGGGGATTCCGAATACAATATTAGTTTTTAGAATCGTGCATTACTTTTATCGATTTTTTTGCAAAGTTTGAGCTACGGGGCTGGGATTTGGCACAGGGGGGTAATCGAGCATGCTGATCACCCCCACAGGGATGATCAGCATGCTCAATTACACCCCTCTGCCAAATTCCAGCCCCTTAGCTCAAATTTTGCAAAAAATCGATAAAATCGACATCAATCGATAACGAAAAGTGGACTGTGACACCCGCCGGTGCCCGAAGTGTATGTGTGCCAAGTTTGGTTCGGATAGGTTAAGAAATGGAATTTTCTATTCAAAACATACGGCGGAGCCGGGTATGCCAGCTAGTTTGTAATATACAGCGATCTGTTGGAACTATCCTATAGACGGGGTGTTGTCTTCTGGTGTCTAAGCGATTTCAATTCACTTTTAGTGGTACATAGCTGTGGTGACCAGATGCACAATATATTGGTCCCATATAAAATTTTATAGGTCCCGTTTCTGATCATATGTTGCAAACGAATATATGTCTTTCTTGTGCGAAAGCATTGACCCCAACTCTTGCATTTCAAAGTCTTCGGTTGGGATAATGATTCAGATTCATGAGATCTACTTCTAATCGGTATTATGTGATTTAGTAAGTTGCTGTACCAAACTTCACTTCGTTACATCAAAATATGTTGATGTGAGTATTTTCGATACGATTCTTTAAATGCCTGTATAGTCAATTTAGACAGCAAGCAACATTTTTTAACATGGAGTTAGATACCAGGTGGAGATTTTCTGTTTGATATTGAACACAACATTCTTTAACGTCTGAAAAAAGTTTTCCTCGTACGTTAGATAATGCTGAAAAGTGTAGCTCTAGCTTCTCGACGTTCTAGAGGTGTTTCGCTTCTTTCAACAGCCACAAAATTTTCGTCATAGGGATAACGGCGAGTGATCTGCATACGTTCACAAGCCTGAATTTTGTAGTCACGAGATTAGATTTGAGAGATTCGAGTCTGATTTGCCCTCATATAAATGAGTAATACTTGCATAAAGCACAACAACCAAAAGCAAAAACCGTGATCGGAAATTTGGCTCCGCTTCCTTTAGTTTGGCGCTCAGTTCAATTGTGATTTTTGATGTTGTCCAAGAAAAAGTAATAGTATGTAGTGAGGGCAAAAAGAAGCAGTTAGCTTATCTTTAGCAACAATTGACTGTGTTAGAATTTGACCATTTCATTTGCAAGGAAATGGTTGCTCACCACCGATGCAGCATGAAACACTGATTCCAAATCTTTTTTTCCGTATCTGCTGTGCGCTCTTTTGGACAAATTTTGGGTCATTATATTGCAAAGAAATCGTTTAGGCAAAATGCAATCCATCACATACCGTTTCAATTTTGGCTCACTTAGGCCAAAACATGCAGTTAGATTATCGGCCATACCTAATGGGTTAAAAGGCAATATTAAGTCTAATTTTGCTTTCTGTATGTATAGTGCTCTTGAGATAAATCCTCATAACTTTGTGCCACAAAGACGTTCAGCGGATACGGAAGACAGATTTTTAATTGGCATTTTATGCTGCATCCAATAATATGCTTTTTTGGGTTGGATTATTTGGATTTCCACTTTTGACTATTTTCTATCAGGCAGCCCCATAACTGGAAAATTTCAAAACATGCTAAAACAAAACCAATGGACTATTTAAAATGCCGTGAAAATGATATTACCATTATACGCGGTAGGGGCTCTTTACTACGCATGCGCATCTCGTGGACCCTGCGCAGCGATCTCTGATCAATGCCGCAGATTTAAACGCTCAAGCATACGCCCGCGAACGCGGCACTGGACCCTAACGTTGCGCTTGAGCTTCGGCAAGGGAGCGCATCATTGACACAGACCGTAGGAAGTTTCCACGCAATAAATAAAAATGATAATTGCTGCTTCCCTTGCTCTGCGTCTGCTGGCGCGCGTATTGCCACCATGTTGGCAACATGCAGCAAAACCTATAACCAAAACGTTCTGCCAGCGAACTGTTGAATGTTGCAAACATGTTGGTGCATGTTGAAAATATGTTAGCCATGCCTGCCGCAGGTAAGAGACCTAAAAAGAGATAGCAGAAATGGGACGACATGGTTTTTGTAGGTAAAGGCCGCTGATGACGAGAGCGCAGAAGTAGTATTAGTTGAGCGGGCGCGAACGCAGCGCGCACGTATCTATGCCGTTGCAAGACCTGCGTCTCATGCGCTCTATGGCTATAAATCGCGTTCGCGCCCAAATATTGCGCCTTCGTCATGCAGCTACCTATAGGCACAATATTCAGACGTGTCTTTGAAGCATAATTCAGCGGGGGGGGGGGGGGAAGTATGCGACGCTCTCTGCGACGATCGCTTTCACTCGACATGAACATAATCTCACGGGGTCAACCAAGGCTCCGAATGTCAAAATTTTTAAGCATTGTGTGGAAATAGCGTAAAGCATTAAATTTTTTTAACTCGTGTTATCCACATGGTGTCACATTTAGACCGTTCATAAGAAGGAGAGAAATCAAATATCAGGTAAGAATTGATGACTCATAGAGTGCACGGAGAGCGAGAAAGTTCGAAAAAAGCTTTGATGTCATCCTTCCGAGGGCTTCTCCGTATGAGGTCGAACTTGCGCTCTATCGATGGCCCAAGCATCAGCTTTGAACATAAGAATGAATTGTCAGCTTTTTAAGGAAGTTAGTCATCAAGCGTGCCAGCGTACATGATACCGCAAGTATGAGCTACCGTCGATGAAAGGAACTGTCTTTATTTGTTTCTTGCTCTCTATCTGGCATACAATACTATTATGTGCATTTTTTGACCACGCAACTCCGAATTTTTCCTTTCCGTGCAAGGTAAAAAGGCGCTCTGCCGCGAATAATTGTCCCATTGTCACGTCAGCGGATCTCGGACGCAACGTCGATAATTGATGGAAGTTCTTCCGAAAGCACGTTCTTACTATTCGGATGATAATGTCGTGAGAAGCTCATTGCGGCGACATTTTCCCATTTTTCATCCTGTTTTTCTGGATGACGCAACTGTTCATCTGATTGAGCAAGCTTACATATCAGCGACAGCCATAAAATGATAAGAAAGTCTGCCATTGTTTATTCTGCGCCTATTCTTACTACTTGACGCAGCTCTTCATCTGTTTTTCACTTTGTTGTTCAGTGACAACTGCAAACGATTCAGTCCATCATTTCAGACCAAAATGGCGACTGTTTCTGGAAGCAGACGCCAAAACATGACAATCGATGGCGTTTGGGAAGATTTGTACAATGGACTGCAGGCTGTGTATCTGCGAGAAGTGATGAAGTCTCAACGATATATGGAGCTTTACACGTATGAGCTGATTTTCGTCAATTTTTTTGCTAAGTATCGATTTTTCTTTTTTTTGTGCTGGCGACTCTTCTAGAAGATGCGGCTTTTCGTTTGGTCTCTTTTTCATTAAATCTTCGCCGAAACCAGGATATTATGCCATCATAACTACTAAAGGGATGTGTACATAGAGTAATAGGTCCTTATTGTGCTTTAAAAATTTCGCATTACGCTCTGATATAGGTAGCTGAATTCTTCTGTTAACAAGAGGTAACTAACCAGAATTATTATTCTGGAGATTAAAACAAAAGTCTTACAAAATTTGTTAGCAACACAGCGTATGACCTGATACAGGATGTGCATGCTTTCGTCATTAATTTTACTTTTCACCGCTGCAAATCTCTCGCGTAATCGCTCATGGCAGCGAAGTTCCTATCACCTTTCTTCAAAATCCGTCACCGCTTAGCACGCTCTGTTACTTTCAAAGTATCATCAGTAATTTTTTTGCTCACACTTTATTGAAGTACGAGCAATTCTTTTTTGTTCTTCGAATGTCTAGGACGACTGGGCCCATACTGACAGTATTTCATAATGCAAATGGTACGGCTAGAGTGTAATAAAGGTCAAGATCTAAGCCAACAAGTATACGCGGAACGTCCAAGTGCACCCTGTGCCAAGCGCGTGCGCCTGCGACGCGGTTTCGTGTGAGCCATCATGAACAAAGTCTGAATAATGTTTGAAATCGCACTACAGCAACGCCCTGCAGTTTTACTTGAACTATCATGTTATCAGTCTGATGGTCTCATTTCTAGAAGCGTGTACGACTTCTGCACTGCCGTCTCGGTGAATCCGTCCGCACCAGCCGGTGGCGTCGTAGGGCGACCGAGCAGATCAAATGCACGTTCGTCTCACAGAAACTACAACGCTGAAGATGGAGCGGTGACAGGAACAGACTTTGTTGGTGTTGAAATGTATGCAAAACTAACAGCATTTATCGAATCTTACGTCAGAGATCGGCTTGAAGCAAGTTTAATTTGACTTATTTCTAAGTATAAAGAACACCATTGAATTTTTTAGGGTGCCCGAGATTTGCTTGGTGAAGATTTATTACGTTATTACACGACGCAATGGTCGGAATTCAGATTTTCCTCCAAGGTATGAAGCCTGCGCTTGTTGACAAATCGCTTCATTCCTTCTGGTATGTACATAAATCAAGTTAAGGTTGTCGATGGCATTTTTTCCTACCTAAATAGACATTGGATCAAACGGGAACTGGATGAAGGAAACGGCAATATCTACATGATTTATACGGTGCGAATTCCCCAAGTTTCCGTTTAAGCTCTCTCTTTGCTGAGCTTTTCCTTTTGCTGTTTAAATAATAAACAGATCAACTTCACCGAAAACTTTTCTCATAATGAGTTATTCTCAATATAAGTGAGCCGGAGTTTTTTCGTGCAGGTAATCACAGTAATTTTCAGTCTCTACGCCTCATTTACAGGCGGCGAATATTTTTGAGCCTATCTTGGCATAGAACGACGCTTTCTGTCATTAGCCTATATCTCGCTGCTGTAACTGCTTTTCTGCTTTCTTTCGTAATCTTTCCTTATGTAACTTCATGCTCAGCGTCAACCATATATCGTAGACTCGTTAAGCTCATGGTAGCGGTATTGGTGTTCACTTACTTGCTGAATGGAGATTGTGCAACACCATTTGCTACACTATTTTTCCAGCTATCACTGGCGTTCCTCCTACTTGTTTTTCCCAGTGAAAAAATCACAAATTGTACTCGCTTTGATAAATCAACACATCAAAACATTGTCATGTTCACTCGCTTTTGCAGCTTCATTTTTGTCAGGTTCTGTAAAACAATCGTTTTTTATGCTCGCATTATACGCTTTGCTGTATGTATGTAGTCTTTAACGCTCTTTTTAGTTGGCGCTTGTGATATGGAAAAGAATATTGTTTATGGAAAGCAAAGAACGGGTTACCGATGCTGTGCTAGATCTGATCAGGCGCGAACGGAATGGAGAGACTATCCCTCGTAAGCTGATCCGTGACGTCACTGATTGTTATGGTATGTGAGCAAATTGTTGCTTCCTCCTTGCGGCACATATCTATCCTATGTTAGTTGAACTCGGAATAGAAGAGGATGAAACTCCGGACCAAGTACGCTCGGCTCAGCCAAATCCTAATGCGAAACTGAGGGTGTATATGGTGAGAATCCATTTCCTCTGCGGGCCTTTGTTTTCTTCAATCTAATCTTTACAGGATCATTTTGAAGCAAAGTTTCTTCGAGAAACGGAAAATTACTATGCTAATGAAGCTCAAGCTTTTCTAGAGAATAATCCACTCACGGAGTATATGAAAAAGGTCCACTTTAGAATTTGATTCTGTTGTTACCTTCCACTCTTTCGTGAAGTGTCATTGCATATTTTATCCCTCTAGGTTGAAAGAAGGCTTGAGGATGAACGCGCTCGATGTGATATGTACCTTCATATGGCTACACAAGAGCCTCTTTCGAAGCGTTGCGAGAAGGTACGACAAGTGTTTTTGGTTTGCGCCTTTAGTTGTTTTTCTTTTTAATCGGAACTCTTTCATTCGAGTGGTCTTGAGCATTGTATGCTTTGCAGGTATTGATTGAAGCGCAACTGGAACTTTTTCAAAGCGAGTTTGGCGCTCTACTTGAAGCAAACAAGGACGATGATCTTGCTAGGATGTACAAGGTTTGTTTTTGTATCGTCGAAGTTATCCTTCATATTTTCGAGTTATTTTTGAATATAGCAGCTGCTTTCTGGAAAACAACATAATTCGTAACAGGTCCTTTTCCGTTTTAAACCTTGTAAAACTTGCTCACCAAATGTGAATTGCTTAATTCAACCGTCTATATTATAACCAGTGTCAGCATACACCTAGCACTGTATACGTCATCTACTCTAAAAAAAGATTTTTGTATGTTGTGCGATACGTCTTGCTGGATTGCACAATTATTGTGTAATGTTGTTCCCTTTTTTCCAATGTTGCGTGCGGTTGCATGACGAATAGTAAGCCGAAGTGATTGTGTTTATCATTCGTTTTTCTTTCTGTTCTGGTGAAGGAGTTGAGTCATTCATTCAGAAGAAAATAACACTTTGAGAGCGGTGCAAGTTAAAGCAGTTTCGCGCTTCTTAGATGGGGACTGCATGGTGGCAGTGGAAAGCTGAAACTTTACGGCGTTTAAAAGACTCATTTCTTTTCCAAGTCTATTTATTTTTTAATCTTCTTCGTAAGAATTTGATGAACCATTTTGCTGTTGAATACTTATTGAATCACATGTCTTCTAAGTGTAACTTCTTATTTCCATTTCCTACCTACAGCGAGGCATTTGCGCCATTACGGGTACTAATCCCAGTTGCCTTCAGTTATGCGAGCGAGTTGAAGATGGTCTTAATAATCTGAGATCTGCGCTTGAAAGTCACATCACCAAGGAAGGTCTTGCAGCTATTGCCAAAGTTGCAGACACGGCATTCACGGTACATCAACTAGTTTTGATTTCAAAACTCGTGAAAATGAATTCGTGAACACAGGATGCGAAACTGTATGTAACCACAATCTTGACTGTACATAATCGTTACTCATCACTGGTTGGCAGCGCTTTCCAAAATGAATCGGGATTCATTCAGGCACTTGATAAGGTATGAGAATGTTGTTTTTCTGACTCTTTAAAGGTTAGAATCTTTTGCATTCGATCGTGCGCTATTTAGGCGGCTACTACTTTCATCAATAAAAACGCAGTAACAAGACGTTCTCAGCAACAACTGAGCAAATCACCGGAACTATTAGCCAAGTACGTTTTTTAAATCTTTCATGGCAGTTGTCGTTATGAATTTATGCTATGATTGGTTTAATCACCTATGTTGAATTCTGATTCTGCTCACTAGATATTGCGACCAGCTTCTTCGAAAAAGCAGTAAAATGCCGGAAGAAAGTGAGTTGGAGGATATGCTGACCCAAGTTGTAAGTAATAATTATATAACTATCTCTATTTCAGTAATGCTCGGCTTATTTCTTTGTTAGTTTCTTTCTACTTATCTCCTTTTCTGCTCATTTTGCTTGCTTCAGATGGTTGTCTTTAAATACATTGAGGACAAAGATGTATTCTCAAAGTTCTACACCAAGATGTTCAGTAAAAGGTGCCTTTTTTATCTTCTTTTCTAACATACGGATCGTTTTCAAATCGTAGCGTTTAGATTAATATCAGAAACATCTGCATCTGAAGAAGCTGAAGTGAGCCTGATTAACAAGCTGAAGCAAATGTGTGGTTTCGAATACACTAATCGATTGTCGAAGATGATCAATGACACCCAGATTAGCAAAGTGTGTTTGAATTTCTTAGCTTGTGAAGTTAATGGGATGAAGGAATTTTTCGCTATCAATCAGGTGGAAGCAGAGATTTTTGGTAATCTGTGGTCTTTAGGATTCTTGCGCAGAATTTCGCGACTACTTGGCTAATCAAAACGTTGATCTTGGTATCGATTTCAATATGCTTATTTTGAGGTAAGTTTTGTACACCAGTTATTCCGTTTTTCCTGATGGTTTTCCTGATTTCGAGAATAGTCTTCGTAATTGTTTCCTCTTCAGTTCTGGATCTTGGCCTGCTTTGCCAACTCTAAAAATGCATTTGCCTCAAAAGCTCAATCTAGCTATAGAACACTTTACTTCGTTTTACAACTCTAAGCATAATGGCAGAAAGCTGACATGGGTAAGATTTGTTTCATACTTGGGGTTAAGCAGTATCTAAGCATTATTGCGTTTCCAGGTTTTGTCTCAGTCACGAGGTGAAATGTATGCATATGGATTTGGTAAGAAATATGTGTTTACGGTAAGCAGTGCGATTTGTTTGTTCACTTCGCTGTCAAAGTGAGATCTTTAGACAACAACAGCTCAAATGGCTGTGCTCTTATTGTTTAACGATTCCGTTGAGTACACAGTTGGTTCACTGGTGACATCATTGGGTATGGATAAGAAGACGCTCTCACAAGTTCTCGCGTCCCTAGTCAAGGTGCTGAAACCTATAGGCTATTTGCTTTTGTGTATATTTTTGGAAGTCACATTTCAGAACGATGTGCTGAAAAGTTCTGAGCCTCTTGATATCTCTAGCGAAGCCAAAGACGAGATATGCTTGTCTCTTAATCAAACATACTTCAATAAAAAAGTGAAAGTAAGTTTTAATGAATATGATTTTGGCGTTATCCTTTTTTTCTGGATCTCTAAACGTTTCATTGATTGAGTTTTTGGTCGCACACGCACTAGGTAGTTTTGATGCTTGAGCTTTCTGTTTCAAGCTCTGTCATCTTTTTTCTTTTCTGATGTTGTCATATCCTGAAAGTCTCCTTATTCTGTTTTTGACTGCTTTTGATATCCGGTTATAATTTATGATGTTTGTGTGCTGTATTCCAGTCTGATCGCCGCGGTTTATGCAAAAGCTTTTGTTAGCATCATACTCAGTCTTTCTTTCCATTCACGTAAAACAGGCAGAGATGTCACTAAAAAAACTGTATTTGCTTTGAAGAGAATTTGAGACTTTGCCACTGAAGCGCAAAATCATGAAGTGCATGCGATCTCAGTGTTCATAAAAATAAATTCTTCCACAACTTCTGCAGAATCTAGCATTTGACCTCATTTTAGTTAATGAGTTCAACATATAGAAAAGTCGGCAGAAAGTATGGTTTTATGTAACGGAGTTTTTTTTTCTTAAGCGACCGCAACGCTGTTCGATGCTTTTGGAGTCAACGCAGATACGGCACTAATAGCTCTTGTCCCAAAAGACTTTCGAGGAATTTCCATAATTGTTATAATTAATGACCTTTGCATTTACACATCTTTCTTGATACTTACCACCAAAACGATAGATGTTCCCAAGTCTTCATAAGCTGTTCAAAACATTTGTATCTAGGTTGATCTATCCAAGATGGTCATGAGATCTGATCCCAAGCAGGAAACTGAGCATGTCCAGAAGAATGTCGACGAGGACAGGAAGAGCGTGATCAATGTAAGTTTTTCTCAATGTGTTAGTCGGCGCGCCTTATTTCATTATTTTTCAGGCATGCATAGTTAGAATCATGAAGACTAGGAAGAGAATCTCTCATTCGCAGTTGATGACCGAGGTACGATAAATTGCTTGCATCATATCCGTTTTTCATTTATTTTCGACAGAAATTTTCATTGAAGCAACTTTTGCCTAAATATAACAAACCGTTTTAGGTTTTACAACAGTTATCAGCACGCTTCAAGCCAAGCGTTGAAATGGTGAAGCGCTGCATTGGCCAGCTGATCGAGAAAGAATACATGCGACGAGACGATAACTCCCGCGAAATGTACGAGTATATGGCATAGGTGATGTTTGCTGTGATCTACCTCATATGGCGGTGTTAAAAATTGCCGCGATGTACGCTATGTTTGCCTATACTCTTGCCTTTCGTTTACTTCGTTTGTCCAAGAGATGTCTTGAATATCTTTTCATTTGTTCAATGTTTGTATCTTCTTTCAGTCACAATCTATTTGTAAAAATTTTGCCCCGTATTTGTCACTTGGGCCTGCGATGTGACCCTCAAGCACACTTTCGGGGTTCGAGTCACCAACCATCGTAGGTTAAAGTTCCCATTATGCAATTTAGTCATTTCTGATCTTGTTCAATTAGGTTAATATCATGGCTTTTAGGTCCTTTACCTAATATTCTTTCTCAAAACGGGGTAATATGTTTGAATTCATAAAAGCTTCGAGTCAATGACTAGCGCAATCAAATGGACGCTATCTTGGAGTTTTGGCACGATCGACGACAGATCTGTCATGCCCAACGTTTTTTGCATAATACCTACCCTAAGATTCGCTTCTGTACTCGACTTGATCGCTTAATTCATCTGTGTACTTTTAGGTGAATTGCGTAACTGTTCTTTCAGTTTTGGGTTCATAGTTTTGTCTTGCATCTTCGATAGGGGTTTGGAGCTGATCATGATTATTCTGAAGCAATTCTTCGCAGATTGATGGCGTGAGCTTTTCGCAAAGAAGGTATCTTATTTTTTTGTTTGGCGAAAGATTCTCATGAGTACTTTCTGCATTCTTCTGCTTGTGCCTCTGTCGTCAACCGTTAAACTCTAAAAATGTACGCGCGTGTGAGAGAGATGGTTATTGATTTGCTGTAAAACTCGAAATCCAGCACCCTCGAGATCCACTCTTTCTGACGAGGCGTCGTTACCCCTGTATATTGACATATCATCTCTATCCTATCCCCTAGATCGATACCTATCTCTTGTACATACAAAAGAAACTGATGCCATGAGACAAGTCTGCACTTTGTCTTTGTGCTGTGTATTTTACGTTCTTTTCGTCTCGGACATTTTCTTACGATCACTCGCGGTCGATATATCGTTGTGCGTACTTTTGAGGTCACCAGACCCGAGCACAACCGATTGTAATCTCTTCTGCTCCGTTACCAGTCATTTCAGCTCTTATATTTCTATCGGCGAATCATAGCGGGATGATCGCAGTTAACCGTGTGATTCTCGAAATTATGACATTGCTTCACATTTATTTGTCATTGTAGCTAAATACATCGTCGACACCCGGGAATTTCTATGATCAGCTTTTTGTAGGTCTGCATGTTATGTGTTATTGGTCCATTCATTTCATCCTCATATTTTTGTTTTGTATGAAAGTATTGATACTCGTGTGAAGAATGAATTAGTTTTGATGATTATTTCCATATTATTAATTCGATTAGGTAAGTTTTACCTTCGAATATTCAAAGCTCTTAATGTGTGAGGTCGTAGCAGCTTTATTAATCGAATATGAAATGGAGCTTCTATTGCATATATAGGAGGAAAATTTGTCTCTTCAGTCACTTGAAGTAGAAATTTTGCGTCTGCTTCAGCTTTCATTGCAGCATGTTCCGAGGGCGTGTAATACAATCTACTCAAAACTCTCAGAGCTGTGTTTCCATGTTCTTCGCAGCTCTGCAAATCAGAGTTCTTTCGCTCTGGCTAGCGTATCAAATTTAAAATGCCCTATGTTTATGCGCGACCCCATAACTCACTAATTGGGACCAGCTTGGGGCAGTCAGGTGGATGTCATTAAGTTTTGATGAGCGCTTACTTTGCAGACATCATCGGGATGGTTAGCTGACCTTTCCGCAATTCCTTGAGGGGAATGCAGCTTACCACCTACAAAAGCGTGGCCCTCCTTGAGTAATTTCTTACATAGAATCAGTGTTCGGGACAGGTGGCTTATAAGTAAGCTGGATACCTTTTGGGACGAAAAGCGAAAGAGATATTGTTTGTGGGTCCGAGTTTGAGTTTTTTTATTTTTAGTCCATACGGATATCTTAGAGATCAAAGGAGACTTCGTAAAACTTTGCGAAAGTCAAGATGGAAATTTTTGCATCTTCAGAAAGCCGCCTCGTGCCGAGCCTTGCATGAAATCCCAGAATTTATTACGAAGCTTGCCTTGAACGCCGTACTCTGGCTGTCATGAAACTCTGCACATTTTGCTTGGTGTGAGATAGATAAAAGTAATCAAATGTTTTGACTAGCTGGGACAAATCTTTATTGCGTTTCGAGACCACAATACGCAGGCAATGCAGCCACTTTGATGCGCTGTCAAAACTGTCTGCGTATAGACTGGTATCTGGATGACGGTTCATATAGTGTCGTTATGGTGAAGGCAACATTTGTGCGTGAATAGTTGGCTAAGCACACTTAACTTGGGATTTATGGCCGTTTTACAGTCGCGAATCGTCGGCAATGCATGCCATTGTGTTTATGCGCAAGTGCTGTTGGTATCACATGGATAATCAAAACTACTAGCTCAAATATCGAAATGCCCCATCAACTTGCTTCCTCCAGGGGGCAAGTAGATAGGGCGTATGTACAGATTGTCTCAATTGCATTGTTGGGTGCACAAGCTTTTCGCGTCCAGTAAATACGGCCAAATCGCTTGGGTTTGTCCGCGTTCGCGAACATGTCCTCTGACCATTTTCCTACGCCTGATTAACAATTGAAGCGCGGCTCTGAGCGCTTTTCCACGCTCATGTATGGGAAAATGATAAGACGAGACGCTGAGCCGCGGCGCAGGGTTGGGGCGAGGCGGCGCGCGGACGCGATTTGCTGATGCACCCGACACTGCATTTGAGATGGCCTGTATCTACGTATATAGTTTACGGTTTCTCCGAAGAGAAGTTTGCCTTCCTATTTTCCTTCCTAGTTTTCAATTTTGTACTCAATTCAAAAGACATCTAGATCCGCAGTTCGAATGATCTCCTGCGATCCGTTCATCTAAACTTTTGCACTTTTTACAGATGTGGGCTTTATGGGCAACCATCTGCTTAACGGTAATGGTACCCGTCCACTCCCTCTTCCCAGGAGCGATTCCTGACGAAGGTGATGTGCGTCACCTTTATCCGGTGACTCAAATCTCAATGGGTTTGGACAACCACGCTCATGCTGTACCTTACCTCCTTGGCTGGTTAGAAAACATTGATTATCCAAAGGATCGCCTTCACGTAATGATCTATCTACTCAGTAAAGAAGATACCACTAGTGACCAGGTGAAGTGGTAAGGAGCAATCACCATTTTCATGAGAATTTTGGCTTGATGGAAATCTTCAGGTGGAAAGATTCTGTCGCTTCGCTTTTCGCTTCACTGAAAATCGTTGAAGGTGAGGAAAACTGGCTGGAAGCAGGATTGAGGTCAGCGCGATTACGTCGAGCCGGTCGAGTCCTTCTGTTATCTGGTAATACGATTCCGATGAGAAGTCGCTTACTTAGAGTTCGTAACATTTGCCCAGTGTAGCCATGTTCGAATTTCCGGTTGTCCACTGTTTGCTTTAGGACCTCAATTCAACGGCAGTTGTCATGAGTGCGTTGTTCGATGCGGCATCGAACGAGGCAAACACCAATTACGACCTGGTTGAAGATAATTATCGAAAAAGAACTGTGGTTGAAAGGAAAGAGGTTAGCGAAAAAAACTCAATTTTTGAAAGTTTTTGCATGTTGATAAAGCAATTTTTGTTGTGTCATAAATGAGCTGGTCGCTATGTGTGTGCGGGGCTTTCTGTTGCTGTATTGTTAGTCTTAGAATAGAACATGATTCTAGCTGTCACTGTTTTTTTTTGTTACTTTCCCTATGAATGAATGCCCTTCTAGATAAACAAAGCTGTTCTGCCTATGCTTATCAATATCGATCTTATGGATGCCTCATACCTTACATTTGACGCAGAAAACTTGCCGAATTATGTAGGGGACAGTGATCCCTTGGAGGTATGAGAGACTTCACCATTACCTTTTTTAAATCCGGATTATTTTTCCTCTGTCTTTCTTTTTCTTAGTTTTTCATTTCAGTTTTAACCAGCGTCACTGTTGAATTCTGTTGAGTTTAGGCACTGCATTGTTTACATAGAGTAGTTTCATAAACAATGCAATGTTCTGAAAATGGCGCTACCTGGCATATTTTTTAGCCAGGATTACAATTGTGGTTGGCAATGTGGTTTTTTTTAGGTTTTTGCTGAAGCGGCGCGGCGGATGAATGTGAAATTATGGATCGACAACCTGAAATATTATGGTTTTTACATTGACGAAAACCTCGAAGTTGATAGTCGTCGAAGAGCGGTGAGTCATTGGTCGGCTTCGATATCTTTATTGACTTTCCTTTGTTATCATAAATCTGGTGTGACCTGCAATATGTTAGCATTCTAATCTGGGAGTTTCTAGCTTCGATATTTGCTTGCTGATCTTGCTGCCGATGGTCAGCAGCTTCCTATTCCATCCCAAACTGTGAGAGCTTCTGTTCCTGAACCACAGTTGTGGGATGTGGACAAGTAAGGTTTTTATAGTGATGTTGTTTGCAAGGAGCTACCACCAGTTTGTTTAGAATCTATATGATCAACTTGAAACGCCGCCCAGAGAGAAGAACGAGAATGGAAAAGATCTTTGAAATCTTAGGTGAGCATATCCAGCCAATATTCCTTTTTTTTATCCTTATCTTTTGACATAGTTGTGTAGAGCAGGATATCCTTCCATTTCACAAGGATATGTGCAAGGAGATTGCGCATTGTTCAAATGTGATTTTTTAGGTGTCGATGCTACTTACTGGGAGGCTACCGATGGTCAAAAACTGCCAGGCGAATTCGTTTATGAATTACTTCCGGGATATCTTGATCCGTTCCACAAAAGGCCCATAAAAGCGGGTGAAATTGGATGTTTCCTGAGTCATTACAGGTCAGCTGTCTTTTCATTTCCTCTGTTCTTCTATCTCCAGTGATTACACTCATCTGTAGTGGTACTACAGTTATCCACCCTTATCAGTACGCACGAACCCTGATTTTCTAGAATCTGGCAAGATGTAATCAATCGCGGTCTGTCACGAGTCATTGTGTTCGAAGATGATCTGCGTTTTTCTGATGATGGCTTGGAAAGAATCAAAGAAGTGCTTGAAGATCTGGATGGGTCGAAAATGGAATGGGATTTGATTTACCTGGGAAGAAAGAAGCAAGCTGATCAAGCAAGTTTTATATTTTTTCTGTAGTGGAAGTTTTTTCTGGCAATATCTCAAGAAAATTTGTAGGAAGAATTGTGGGTACCAGAACATCGACATTTGAGTACGGTCGGTTATTCTTATTGGACACTTGGTTATATCCTTTCCAAAAGTGGCGCTCGAAAACTGTTAGACGCAAAGCCCTTGGAAGCCCTATTGCCAGTCGATGAGTATCTGCCAATTATGTTTGACAAACATCCAAATAAGGTGGGTTTGTTGAGTTCGATTCTGACATTTTTTATATTGGAATAAATCTAAAAGTTGAACGAGAACTGACTCTCGTTATTTAGATATGGTCATCCTATTTTCCCAATCGAAACCTACGAGCATTTACGCTCTACCCACTGACTGTATTCCCGCAACGATACACTCATGAGGAAGGCTATGTTAGCGATACTGAGGATTCTCCAATAGTTGCTAGAGAAATCGATAGTAAAGGTTCGAAGAAGAATGTGGCTAAAGAAAGCGACACTAAAAGTCTGAAGAAGGATGAGCTCTGACGAGTTTGCTATAGGTGACTAGCTGGGATACCTGGCTTTGCTTCGTCCTTTACAACCTACCATGATGGTCTGTCCTTTCCGTCCCATTTCCATACAACATTTCCATGTTTGTCTCCTTATGGGCCAACTCCGTACCCTCACCTGTTTTTGTAATCGACACTCCCACTCTCCTCAGTAGCAAAAAAATGTGAAATTGTTTTTTTGGACACTTATTTACCACCGTTCTAATTTTCTGCGCTCCAACTTAGAGTTTGCAGAAATAATTGGGTAGTTGTAAAAACGGTTGTATTCGTAATCAGCGTTCTCGCCTACCCTCGTATATCAGTTCCCAGCCCCATAGCTCAAAGCCTGCTGGAAAATTAAGAGGTAGCCAACCTATGTCACCTGCTACGCTCCGAATTGTATGTGTGCAAAATTTGATCCGTATCGCTTCGGAAATGGAATTTCTATTATTACATACAGACAGACATTCAGCTTCATCTATAAGGACTATCTGTTATTGATAGTATTTCGGAATGCGTTCATAGCTTGCTTCCCGCCAAATCGCGCCGTGACTACACGTATTGCAACACTTTGCGCACTGCTACTTTTCTCATGCGGCGGTTTCTCGCAAGAAACCCAAGAGGAAAATACTGTTGAAAGTTTTCACCCCAATTCGACCTGGAAGCGCTGTACATGCTGTGTAATTTGGCGGGAGATGTTCAAACCACGCAAGTATAAGCAACTATAAACGCAGATCCAAGACACAATTGCTTCATGTATCTTAACTCATTATTTGTCAAGTTATCGACCTTCTGGTTTCAATCTAGCTTTCAAACGTTACTGAACGTTAAGGCATCCCATATTTCCCTGGGTGATCGGTGTTGGATGGAAAATATGGTATCTGCATATTTTGCGTTCCAAATGCATAATCTAGACTGGTTTTATTAGTGCCTTGCCATAGTATTTATTTATGTGTCACCCATAGTATTTATGTGTGTGACAGAATTGATTTCTCCTTTATCAAGCTTTATTCTTAGCTTTAATTGTCAATCTCATTGTTTTGGTGCTGCTTTTGTTTGTATCTCAAAAAAAATTTTTTTTACTTGTTCTCATGTTAAACTGCCTGCAATTATGTGCCAAATCACATTTTGCCAACGTTTTCGATAATTTCATATTTATTGCGATGAAGATGTTTATAATAAATTTGATGGTCAACTTACAGACTTTGTCATCTGTGGTATTTACCAGAAAATTTCTGATCTTACTGATTGTTTTCTTTATTGTTTTTTTTACTCAGGTATTTGGTATTTTTACAGTACATCTCGAGATCGGTGCGGCGCCCACAGAGCCTGCAGAAGCAGTCTCCGCCACCAATGGGATGCGTATGGTCAAGCGCGGATCTTGTTGGAGGCGGTTACCGTATCAAAATTGTAAAAAAAATTGCCGAAGGCGGATTCAGTCAGGTAACATCCTCAAGTGTAAGGTTGACATTCGATCTCTTCATTTGATCGTTGTCTCGTTTCACCCTTTTGCTTCATCTCTTTCCTTTTACTACACATTTTTCTTTCCATCACCTCATCTTCCTGTATCTTTCACATCTCAGGTTCTTCTCGCTACGGACATAGATGCCGGAGAGAGCTTTGCGGTGAAAAAAATCGCAAATCACTCACGAGAAACGGCGGAGAGGATCGCGAATGAGGTAAATACTCTTCCGTTATGTGGAGGTGCTAGCTCACGCCTGTTCTCTTGCTTCAGACTGCGATACATAGTCAGTTGTTTGGCGTTCAAAATGTGGTTCCGCTCTTGGCGACAATAGAAGCCGATAATGCTGTATATTTAGTGTTTCCATTTTATAAAAAAGGTTCTGTTGGAGACGATCTGCTTCGAAGGCGAGCGATAAATGAGCACTTAAATCAAGCTCAGGTAATGAATTCGTTTTCTAGAGGGAACATTTGGATAATCGAACCGTTGAGTCGTCGAGGCATGGACTGGCCGTAGATTGCGGAGCACGCGCCGCGCGGCCAAATGCTTGTATCAGTACAAATCGCTATTACGCAAGTCGTGCTAGCGTGACATTTTGGCCGCACCGCGCGTGCTCCGCAATCCACGACCAGTCTCTGCGGTTGACGACTCGACAATACGTGAAGTTTACCTTCTAGGTTGTGCGTATTTTTCATGGTTTATGCTTAGCTGTACGTGCTCTTCATGAGTTGGGTTATGTACATAGAGATTTGAAGGTGAGTTTGGATCAAATTCTGTTTAACTCCCTTCGAAACATGCCTTTCTCTCACTTGCTACTCTTTTTGAGCAAACAAATTTTATTTTCTTCAAAATCACTTCTAGTACGTTCCATTCTAACAGGTTTCAATAGCTTTTGCGTATATAATACGAGTTCATTGAGCCCAGGTAGCTTTCCTATTCAGGTCGCCAATGTTATGAGAGCAGATGATGGTACACCGTTATTGACAGATTTTGGGTCTGCTACTAGGTAAGTCGTCTTTCTCAAAATCTTTATTGTAAACGAACATTCATCCATAACCTAGTACAACGGTCAACATAGTGTTCTTGCGATCGACAATGAGCTAGAAGTGCTTTGACGCGCAAATAGCTGATTAGATGATTACTACGGTTTTTATAACGCGCAGCAAATTCATGGCACTCACAATCATGTTGTTTTCGCGCAATTGCTGTCATCACCGCAAGCGTATAACAGCTACAAAAACTTGATAGTTTTCGTATATTCTCCAATCTAAAGTATTCCAGGATTCCAATTCGGATAGATAATGCTCGCGACCAGCAACATGCAATTGATGAAGCTGCTGAGCTATGTTCGATGCCGTACCGAGCTCCCGAGCTCTTCGATTGTCACATTGGAACAGTAATCAGTGAGAAAGCCGATCTTTGGGCGAGTACTTTTTTCCTCTTTTTGAGTACTCTTTTTTTATCATTTAAAAAGCATCGTTTAGTCTCTTGGTTGTTGTCTTTACGCTCTTTGCTACTTCGTTTCACCATTCGATCTCGTCTATGAAAAGGGCAACAGCGTTGCATTGGCTGCCCAAAGTCCCGAAAAGATACAGTATCCTGAAACGGGACTGTGAGTTGTTACTAACGCTTCAGGCAGTATATCAGCGCCCATATCAGTGCTCTACATTCAGGTACGACAAGCGATTAATTGACATAATGAGGCGTCTTCTAGTTGTGGATCCCATCCATCGAATGTCTATAGAGGATGTCATCAAAGTAATGGCATCATTAGCGAAGGAGATGTCGCAGAATGCAGCAAATAACATAGTTTGAATTATTCACAAGTTTGATTCTGTGTGACAGCATATTTCCAAACATTCACTTAACAAGCTTTTGCACGCCGCGGTTCCTGAAACTTTACATCAACTCAAAATCTAAGGGTAGAGCATTACATATTGTCCACTTATCACATTTCACCTTACCTCTTTGTTGATTTTGCGCTGAACTGTAAAAATTCTTCCTTTGTATGCAAATTTGTTCATTCTGTGGTATAGAGAATTGTGATATCAAAAATATTGAGGGTCAGTCAGCACATGTATATTCGTCTTTTCAAAGGAATAAACTTTGCTCGAACAGTTGTGAAAATTGCCAGATGATCATGATGAGAGTCAGTGTGGTTTGAGAGCTATTTCGTACGCAAAAATCTTGAACTCCCCCCCCCCCTCCCCCCGTGAGATGAAACATTGGGATTCCGTGAACTTACCTACTAGGAAAATCTTGATCGAGGGTATGATTTTCATACTGTGAAATAGGAGAACAATACGAACGAAAAAAGTACGAACATTTTGTCAATATGGCTTTAGTGGTTTATCTAAAACTTCTAGTTTTGGTGATAGTTTTGCTCATGAGGAAATGGTTAGAACTTAACCCAGCCATTCCAAACAAGCTGTATATCATCCGACTCTAAAATGCTGATTTCAAATGTATGTTTTTTATCTGCCAAGCGAATATCTGGGAGTAGTTATGAGCGTTTAAATGTGAGAAGTTTTTCTAGTTTTGACAAATATATTTCCTTGAAAGGCAGCCTGATGGCGTGATTTACAGTGGCCATGGTTATTTTAATCATAAGGAAGAAGTATTCACCAAAAACCTATATAAGTGTTTTTGAAACCTATTTCGCGGAACATACGTCATAGAACACTTGGCAAATCGCACATTCAAACGCTCATAACTCCTCCCAGATAGTCGTTCGGCAGATAAAAAATCATAGTATTGTGATCAGCGTCTCAAGACGAGTCCGATGATATACAGCATGTTTGGTATGGCTGGGCTAAGTTCAGACCATTTTCTGCTCAATTCGAAACTGCTTCCAAGGTCGTTCAGCTCCAGCTCCATCTTCAGACCTTATTTTCTTTCGTCATTCTTGCACTAGCCACGGGAAAGAATGGGAAAAACCACCATAGCTGACGCAGCAGTTGTGATGCGAATCATTCTTGAATGCGTTTCTCACGTCATGTTCCTAGTCCAGACCACTTCAACCCTGCTGCATAACAGGTGAGGAATGCACCGGATTAATCTGACCCAGGTTTTCACTCTGTTTATCAATAATTACCATGGACGGCTGCTCACCTGGGCGGGGCTTGTGGGCTTTGGCGTGCGCAGAACTGCACGTACAGAACGGGCTGGGGCTACGGGGTACTACTAGGGTCTACTAGCTAAAATCACCAAAATGTGACAAGCGTCCACTTTGCCAAGCACTACCTTGAAGGAGGCGGAGAAGGCGCCTTACTGTAGTAGTGAGATCCTATACTATATAGGTGCCTCACTCGCAGTAGTGAATCCTATACCGTATCTTTACCGTAATCTTACCAAAGCTGTGCACTGAGTGCCATCTTTGCACTAAGCGGGTCGTATGATTCCAGAAAATTCAAACCTAATCTTCTACTTTATGTATCAAATTCCACGACATGACATTATCATGCGGATGAGGCTTAATTTGAGCAAAATTCATGATTTTGGATTCTTGAGGCTTAGATAACCGAATAACGCCAGGGAAAAGGGTAATCTTATCTTGGTTGACATGTGGGACATTATTGGCAGATCAGTGGCTCACTGAAAGTTTTAAATGAATTTTAAAATTGTGAAAGAAAATTGTCTGTAGTCATCTACAAGCGAAATAAGTTTGAGTCATAAAAATTCAAGTTGACTTTGACAAAAGGAAAATCTTGGGCCTTGCTGGCGTTTTTTTTCCAAATTCTTGAGCTTACAAGCTCGCTTCAGATCTGGTTTAGAAAATTTTTTCGGCGGCGATGGCTTACGATAGGCCCCTTGTCCGTTGTCCCCTCCCTCAAATAAAAAAACATCTTCTGCCTTGTTTTCCCGTGGAGAAGGTTTTTCGTAAAATAACGCTCTGATGTGCGCCGTGTGCACTTGCACACATTATTGTTTGAAAGTAACTCGACTATATTCGGTCCAGAAATATGAGCTTGAAAACTCCCCTTCCCCCCTCTACCACACACATCAGTTTTTATCACTTGAATGCTCTTTATCAAACGGCCGCAGCGCTCATTGTTTGGACAGTGCGGGCGATCAGCGGAAATCATCGAGATGCTAACGACGATGTTTGTTCTGTTGACAAATTTCGACGGTGTCGTGCTCGAGATCAGAGACTGTTTTCCGATGTTTTTGTTTGAATGTATGGGGTAAGATTCCGGACAATTTCCGGAAAAAATCCTTTGAACAGAGGATCTGCGGATCTGCTTTTCCTCCAGTGTTGACCACACTGTTGATGAGCTAGCGTCGGCAGCGTTCAGTGCTCGAACGCAATTAGTGTCTGGTCGGTCGTGATTTGCTTGCAAATCGTGCGTTATTGCTTTGCTGAAGATTTGCGATGTCGCTTTGCATAACAGAATAAGCGAGATGCGCGCGGCGCCGTCCTGGAGACAATGAGCAGTCGAATGCGAGTCATATATGCCGTTTAAACTGTTCTCAACTGCCTTGTTGTCTCTGTCTTCGTTTGATTCTTACTTCAGTTTTTGCTGTAAAATTGAGCATGAGTGGTCAAACATTCGAAAATTACCTTTCGCTGTATAGCAGACTTCAAAGACACCTCACTCAAATTGAAGCTGGTGAGATTTTGACGTTGTATTATGGAGAGGCCCCTGACTATGTAATCGCCCAGCTCCAGTTGCAAAAGGTGAACTCCAAAGCGAGAAAAACGCTCCAGAAAATGGAAGTAGGGATGGAGGACATTAGGTCGCCGAAAGAGGGCGGTCCCCGCGGTCATTTGCGACAAATACGCACCCTTGTACATACACGGACATGCGTTCCTGCAGGGAATCCGCGCGGGACTCTTCCAAATTCGGCGACCTAATGTCCTCCACCCTGGAAGTGGCTCAGGTGGCCCCGCCCATCAACGTGGGTGGTCCGAAGATAATATGTCTATAGTTGTCATAAATTCTTTTCACTATAATCATTAAAAATTTCGACATTTCTATGTGAAGCCTTTTGTGCTCAATCTTCAGGCCACCCACGTTGATGGGCGGAGCCACCTGGGCTGCTTCTACCTTCTGGAGCGATTGTCTCGCTTCGAAATTCTTTGCAGCGCGAGATGAGCGATTATCTAGTGAAGGCCGCTATTTTACAGCATCAAAACCTCAAAATCCTCTGTTTGGGTGGACGGTGCCAAAGAAATACTATTAGGAATTCATTACAGTCAGCTGGAACACCTGCCTTGCTGATGCCCTTTTCAGTAAAATCGAAAGCATACGGTTGCCCCGCAACTTTGCATGTGATTGTTGAAGGCAGTGTCGGCGTAAATCTGAACTTCCTTGACTATAACTACCATAATCAAGTACTAGGAACTCGAACTTGGATTGCTGCGCAATTCGGAGCTCCAAATATTATCTGAAAAAGAAAAAATCGGCATGCAAGTCACAGCTGCTCGGCGGCCCACTCCGGTGTGCCGCCCGTCCTCTCAAAGAGAAGTCTCTCCAGCCTTTGAAGCGTTTTCATCTGGAAGAAATGTGTTCATACTTATTTTTGACACTAGCACAGGAGCATTATTCACGCTTCCCAATAAATAACCTTAAAAGGGGGGGGGGGGTTCTGACGGATTCACGGTTGCTGATGCAGCTTACACGAAAATAAAGCAACCTCCTACCGCACCTTCAGCCAATGCTTCAAGGAGTTGACTACACTTCAGCTGTAACGGGTGTACCTGAAGGAGAGTTACAGGAGGTCTTAAGAACAAGAGATGATGTCAGTGCTGCGATTTCGAGTTCTTTTCAGGAAGCTGGATGCATTTTCTTGCAAGTAATATATCAGTGACTTTCCGCTCTCCAGGTGCCTCTTATCTCCAAATAATTAGATCAAGCTCAAAATAATAGTGGGTTACGATAGCAGACATTGACTCTAAATTGTGGAATTAATATCTATGACCAGTCATAAGTTCATTACTTTGATTTGGGACGACATGGCACACGCCACAGCTGATCCACTTGATCAGCCTGATCCTTCGTTCTTGGTCGAATCAATGAACTGACCGATACCGAAGCTAATGTCCACTTGATTCACTTGATCTCTTCGCTACTGGTCAGTTCACCGTTTTGACCAGTAACGAAATGGATGAATTGAATTAAGGGGATCAAGTGGATCAAGTATGGCGTATGTTTCTATCAGCTGTGATCTCATCAAGTTTGTCGTGTCGCAAAAACGTTGACGGATACAAATATTCGAGATTTATCTTGGCTAAATTACTATTTGCTGAGACACATCGGATACTGAGTAACTGCAGTAGTATTGAAAACTGTAGAGTACAGGTAGAAAATTCTACTTTGGCTTTGAGAATGAGGAGCGAATGGGCGTGGTGCTTGCAGCCAATCAGAAAACCAGACAGTGACATGGTCGTGATTGGCTGACCTACGCGCCGTCAAGCCCTTTCAGCGCTTTGACGGCCAAAAAGCATAATTTTGTTTTACATCTTTGTATAAGGTTCGCGCAGGGCGCGGCACTGAGTAGTCCTCTTTTCCCATGCACTCTCACCGTTTTTTTCTCTGCGCCTCTTCCACTCACAAACTATTTTCAATGAACGCAACAGCGTTGCATTTCGCGCAATACACGGACGACCTATGGCATATTTTTGAGAAACAACAACACCATAAAATTCGAAAAGGAGAGAACCTTCAATTGAAAAACCAATACAAGCGCTGCGTTGAAAAAGGGATAATAGTTGTTTCCTAATTTCCAACCCCTTCTCTGTTCGAACTTCTTCGAAACCATCAGAAATGCTGCACAATTTATGCACGGTCCCTCTTTGTGTCCGTGCATCTCAATGTCCGCGCTTTGACTGTATGAATAGAGCCCTCAGCACTCTCTTTGTGTGATGGGCTTCGACACACGGCAAACATTCGGATTACTGCTGATGCATGACGCGCGGTTGTCGTCCTGAACCGATGTGCAAACAATACATCCATGAAGATATCTCTTTGATGCTGTGATGAATCACTTTCGACTTTGGTGAGAGAGATAGCCAGGATAGTGTTTCGTAAAAAATTCCCAGAAAATATACTTGTTACAAGTTACTTATTTGAAATATGCTTATTTGAAATATGCTGCCAAAAACTAGTTCGAGCT